CATGCCTGCACCAAAATGAGGTGCCCAAAAGTGGGGCACCTTGTAAAACTATAACTTCCAGGATTCCATAGCAATGAGCCATGGCACTTAAAGCAGCATCAAAAATGCATTCATTCTTGTTATATGTTTAATATTAATGTAAAACCAATAAAAACTTTAAAAAAAATATGCATTCATTCTTCAGTGTAAATGTACCCTTAGTACAATAGGTGGAAGAGTTAACCTATACACCACTTTGGGTCCATCAACACCCTTAGTACAATAGGTGGAAGAGGTTGGTACATACTGACTCATGCCTACATCAAAATGAGGTGCCCAAAAGTGGGGTACTTTGTAAAACTATAACTCCCGGGAGTCTGTAGCAATGAGCCATGGCAGTTAAAGAAGCATTAAAAGTGCATTCATTCTATAGTGTAAACCACCCTTAGTACAATAGGTGGAAGAGGTTGGTACATACTGACTCATGCCTACATCAAAATGAGGTGCCCAAAAGTGGGGCACCTTGTAAAACTATAACTCCCGGGAGTCCGTAGCAATGAGCCATGGCAGTTAAAGAAGCATTAAAAGTGCATGCATTCATTCTTCACCCTTAGTACAACTTTGGGTCCATCGACATGGTACAACATATGCCGTTTTGGCACCATTTGGACTGCCACGTCTCAATGCTGTGGAAGCTTGGGAGTTGTAGTTTGACAAGGCCTTTAGCCTTCCCTGCCAACGAGGGGTGCCCAGGAAGGCAGATGCAGAGACCAAGAGCGGCTGCATTTCGGAGACCTATCTGTACGATGCCGACGGCCCCGAATCTGCCTTGCATCCTGTTTTTATCCAACTCTCTGTCTTTCCTGGCAGCATGAACTCTTCCCTTCCTCTCTGCTTCCTCCCTGGACCAAGGCCGGTGCCAAGAGACAATCAATCACCTTCCATTCCTCCCTTCTTATCCTTACCTGCGCCGCCAGGTCCTTGCGATACTGTTCCAGCTGCTTCGCCATATTGAAGCCTTGCTCCAGGTAGGAAGACTGAGCCTCCATCAGCGTCAGCATCTGGAAAGCCAGACAAAGAACTGCATTGACACAGTGTTCAACCATAGTTGGAAGTATTTGGGAGGTTTCTGATACTTTGGGGCTAAAAATGGGTCCAACACAAGATGCGTTTGGAAGAGGTTTGCCATCGGCTGAGAGAGTGTGACTCACCCAAGGGTTTCATAACTCTATGTAATACGATTTTTGATCCTGAGTTATAAATGTCATTTCCTAATTGCTTCTATCACATAAACATGGGAGAAGTTTATTAAACTACCAAAACTTTGTCTCCACAGGAGGGACATCTTGCTATAGCACATTTTGCTCTCGTTTTCCAGTGAATATCTCATAGCATCTCAACCACTTCAACATAGTTTGTGCCACAAAAATTTATTTATTATTTATTATTGATTTAGAGCTTTTATAACCCGGTCTTCTCGGCCTCCGAAGAGGGACTCAGGCCGGCTAACAGCAAAAATAATCATACACAAATAGAATAAACTTGGTAGCATCATAATACAATAATACATAAAATACATTAAAATACAGATCATACAATTACAAAAGCCCAGGTCGTCAAAGTAAAATCACAAATTCATCACCATCCCCCAGTGTGATCAGCCGTTATTGACTTGATCATCATTCTGCAAATGCTATATTCCAAAACCAAGCTTTTACCAGCTTTCTAAAAGTCAGGAGGAAAGGGGCAGATTTAATCTCCAATGGGAAAGAGTTCCAGAGCCGAGGGGCCACCACCGAGAAGGCCCTGTCCCTCATCCCCACCAGACGCGATTGCAAAGGTAGTGGGACCAAGAGCAGGGCCCCTCCAGAAGATCTTAACAACTGTCAGTGATGAGTCCAAGAGGACACCCTGTTGATGGCGGAGAAGCATCGCTTCAGTGCTGGTAGTCTTTGCTTCTTCCAGCACAGTGACGTTTGTCCACTTGTCTTCCCAAGAGATTTGCAGGATGTTTTGGAGGCAACAGTGATGGAAATGTTCCAGGAGTAGACAGTCCATGTTCATGGACAACAGGCTCCTCGGCATGGAAAATGGAAGAAGAGCAGCTCCCCATGGCCAGGGACGAACACAGCCTCCAGATGCCGCAGATGAAAAGGGGGAAGCCTTTGTCCTTGTCTGTGTACTCTCTGTCTTTGTTATTAATTTACTAATGGCACTGAATGTTTGCCATATATGTATTCTGTACTCCACTCTGAGTCCCGTCGGGGAGAGAGAGCGGAATATTATTACCTTCCAATACTCAAATTTGACTCTTGGGTTTTCTACCAAACTGGTTCTTGGGTCCCACCTACACTGCCATAGAATGCAGTTTGAATTGCATTGTAATGCTCAGTGTAGACTCATGTGAACTGGATTATATGAGTCTACACTGCCAATGCAGCCAATCTGCACCCTGAAACTGGATCATGTGGAAATCACAGAATCATAGAATCATAAAATCAAAGAGTTGGAAGAGACCTCAATGGCCATCCAGTCCATCCCCATTCTGCCAAGAAGCAGGAATATTGCATTCAAATCACCCCTGACAGATGGCCATCCAGCCTCTGCTTAAAAGCTTCCAAAGAAGGAGCCTCCACCACACTCCGGGGCAGAGAGTTCCACTGCTGAACGGCTCTCACAGTCAGGAAGTTCTTCCTAATGTTCAGATGGAACCTCCTCTCTTGTAGTTTGAAGCCATTGTTCCATTGCGTCCTAGTCTCCAGGGAAGCAGAAAACAAGCTTGCTCCCTCCTCCCTATGACTTCCTCTCACATATTTATACATGGCTATCATATCTCCTCTCAGCCTTCTCTTCTTCAGGCTAAACATGCCCAGCTCCTTAAGCCGCTCCTCATAGGACTTGTTCTCCAGACCCTTGATCATTTTAGTCACCCTCCTCTGGACACATTCCAGCTTGTCAATATCTCTCTTGAATTGTGGTGCCCAGAATTGGACACAATATTCCAGGTGTGGTCTAACCAAAGCAGAATAGAGGGGTAGCATGACTTCCCTAGATCTAGACACTATGCTCCTATTGATGCAGGCCAAAATCCCATTGGCTTTTTTTGCCGCCACATCACATTCCTGGCTCATGTTTAACTTGTTGTCCACGAGGACTCCAAGATCTTTTTCACACGTCCTGCTCTCGAGCCAGGCATCGTCCCCCATTTATCTTTGCATTTCGTTTTTTCTGCCAAAGTGGAGTATCTTGCATTTGTCACTGTTGAACTTCATTTTGTTAGTTTTCACGACACCCTGGAGTTGCTGCAATTCGTGGTACATTCACAAAACCTCCTTTCCTCCGTTCCACCCCACCAGCACCTCTACAGAAGCTATACAGCACACACAAAAACCCCGCTTGCAAAAAAAAAGTTGAACTTCTGGAAACTTGGATTTTCCAAATCTTTGCGCAAGAAGGAATGGAGTATTCAACACGCATCACTACCCAAAGGATACTTACAAATTTCAGGATCTCAGACTTCTTCTTTGACTGGATCACATTGATCTAAAACAAAAGGGGGAAGGCACTTTATTATCTATCTATTTATTTGCATGGCATTATATGTTTGCCTTTTTGGATGCAAACTGCTCTGAGTCCCCTCGGAGAGAGAAGGCAGTCTATAAATAAAGTATATTATTATTATTATTATTATTATTATTATTATTATTATTATTATTAATCCACAATGGCTATTATGCATCTCCCCATCACTGCACAGGGTATCAATTTAGTCAATTAATATAATTGATCCAAGACAGGCATGGGCCAACTTGGGCACTCCGTCCAGGTGCTTTGGACTTCAACTCCCACAATTCCTAACAGTTGGGCTGTTTAGAATTGTGGGAGTTGAAGTCCAAAGCACCTGGACGGAGAGCCCAAGTTGGCCCATGCCTGATCTAAGAGAAAGGAGATCCCACCTGCAGGACGTAGTCCAGGGCCCGCGCATGAAACGTAGTGCGGGCGCACTTCAAAGCCACCGTTGCCTCATCAGCCTCGTGGTGGCGCCGGCGAGGCACTTCCGCGTTGTGGTGCAAGGCGCTCGACAGGCTCTCGCTGCCACGCTCAAACTCCTTGCGGGTCTCTTTGAACTGCTTCATGTCCCTATGAAGAAGAACCATTTCAGCCAAACCTCAGATAAGCGTAGTGGTTCTCAACCTTCCGAATGCCGTGACCCCTTAATCGAGTTCCTCATGTTGTGGTGACCCCCAACCATAACATTATTTTCGTTGCTACTTCATAACTGTAATTTTGCTACTGTTATGAATTGTCATGTAAATATCTGATATGCAGGATGTATTTTCATTCACATTGGCACAAATACCCAATATGTCCAAATTTGAATACTGGTGGGGATGGTGGGGGGGAGGATGATTTTGTCATTTGGGAGTTGTAGTTTCTGGGATTTATAGTTCTCCTACAATCAAAGAGCATTCAGAACTCCACCAACAATGGGACTGAACCAATCTTGGCACACAGAACTCCCATCATTTGGGAGTTGTAGTTGCTGGGATTTATAGTTCACAATCAAAGAGCATTCTGAACTCCACCAACAATGGAATTGAACCAATCTTGGCACACAGAACTCCCATGACCATCAGAAAATACTGGAATGATTTGGCAGGCACTGACCTTGAGTTTGGGAGTTGTAGTTCACCTACACCTAGAGAGAACTGTGGACTCAAACAATGATGGATCTGGACCAAACTTGGCACGAATACTCAACATGCCGAAATGTGAACACTGGTGGAGTTTGGGGAAAATAGACCTTGATATTTGGGACTTGTGGTTTCTGGGATTTATAGTTCACCTACAACCGAAAAGCATTCAGAACTCCACCAACAATAGAATTGAACCAATCTTGGCACACACAGAACTCCCATGACCAACAGAAAATACTGGAAGAGTTTGGTGAGCACTGACCTTGAGTTTGGGAGTAGTAGTTCACCTGCACTCACAGAGCATTGTGGAATCAAATAATGATGGATCTGGACCAAACTTGGCACAAATACTCAACATGCCGAAATGTGAATGCTGGTGGAGTTTGGGGAATATAGACTTTGTTATGTGGGAGTTGTAGTTGCTGGGATTTATAGCTCACCTACGATCTAAGAGCCAAAGGCTTTCATGGCCAGAATCACTGGGTTGTTGTAGGTTTTTTTGGGCTATATAGCCATGTTCTAGAGGCATTCTCTCCTGACGTTTCGCCTGCATCTAAGGCAAGCATCCTCAGAGGTGTGAGGTCTGTTGGAACTAGGAAAATGGGTTTATATATCTGTGGAATGACCAGGGTGGGACAAAGAACTCTTGTCTTTAGCTAGGTGTGAATGTTTCAACTGACCACCTTCATTAGCATTTGATGGCCTGGCAGTTGTTTGGTGTGGCTTGTTGGTGCATCAAGGTGGTCAGTTGAAAAATTCACACCTAGCTCCAGCAGACAAGAGTCCTTTGTCCCACCCTGGTCATTCCACAGATATATAAACCCTTTTTCCTAGTTCCAACAGACCTCACTACCTCTGAGGATGCTTGCCATAGATGCAGGCGAAACGTCAGGAGAGAATGCCTCTAGACCATGGCCATATAGCCTGAAAAAACCTACAACAACCCAGATGTAAAGAGCCCCTTGAATCCCATCAATGATCGAATTGGGCCAAACTTCCCACACAGAACCCCCATGACCAAGAGAAAATACTGTGTTCTATTATGGTCTTTGGCGACCCCTCTCACACCCCCTCACGACCCCTCCAGGTGTCCCAACCCCCAGGTTGAGAAACACTTTGTGAAGATCAGGTAGGCTGTTAGGAATTGTGGGAGTTGGAGTCCAAAACACCTGGAGGGAAGCCCAAAGTTGGCCCATGCCTGGTGTAGATGTACCCAAGATCTCAAGTCCTTGAGTGAAGCAACCAAGAGCAGAGGATAATGGGAGCTGCAATACAAAAACTCCAGAGTGTTCCAAGTTGAGGAATCCCAGTCATGACAGGAAGCTTACTGCGAGGAAGCCGTGGTTCAGGTTCTTACCTATAAAGCCCTAAACGGTTTGGGACCTGCCTACCTTCGTGACCGTATCTCTCCCCGTGAACCAGGCCGAAAAAACCCACAAGAACTGAGATCTCTTAGCTGTTTTCAAATGAGAATAGCTCTAAGGTTGCAGTGTTATGTGTCATATGACCATAATTTCTGTTTATTTCAACTTGAAAGTCCAGCTTTTGATACTTACTTACTTACTTAGGCGATCCCTCGTTGGACGAGTAAGATGGTCTTCCATTATGGATTTCCTTGTGGGTCCGTATGTGGCTGTGGAGCCCTATTCTTGCTCTGCATCTTCTTCCGCAGTGAGGGCATTGGTTTCCAGGTGGAAGGCGGTCCCGGTCGGGGTTGGCTTGACGCGCCTTCCTCCTGGCACGTTTCTCTCTTTCACCCTCCAATCGTGCCTCCTCAAATTCTGCAGCACTGCTGGTCACAGCTGTCCTCCAGCTGGAGCGCTCAAGGGCCAGGGCTTCCCAGTTCTCAGTGTCTATGCCAGAGTTTTTAAGGTTGGCTTTGAGCCCATCTTTAAATCTCTTTTCCTGTCCACCAACGTTCCGTTTTCCGTTCTTAAGTTCGGAGTAGAGCAACTGCTTTGGGAGACGGTGGTCAGGCATCCGGACAACGTGGCCGGACCAGCGGAGTTGATGTTGGAGGACCATCGCTTCAATGCTGGTGGTCTTTGCTTCTTCCAGCACACTGACGTTTGTCCGCTTGTCTTCCCAGGAGATTTGCAGGATTTTCCGGAGGCAGCGCTGATGGAAACGTTCCAGGAGCTGCATGTGACGTCTGTAGACAGTCCACGTCTCACAGGCATATAGCAGGGTTGGGAGGACAATAGCTTTATAAACAAGCACCTTGGTATCCCTACGGATACCAAGCTTTTGATATCAGCTAATGTATACAAATAAACAAAAGGTGGCCATGCAACTGGATGAATCACAGTCCTTTTTTTGCACTGTAATTCCAGGTTTCTCTAGCTAACTTCTACTTCCACACAGGATCAACTACCTCTGTAATTCACAACTACAGATCAGTTCCTTGATCCTCTCACTGGAGAATCCCCTCCTGTAACTCTCTGGTTACAGATTGCTGATTCACAGATCAGTCCTCTTCTGTAACTCTCCGGCTACAGACTCCTGATTCACAGATCAGTCCTCTTCTGTAACTCTCCGGCTACAGACTGATCACTTTCAAAAAGCTGCGCTGCCAAGTGGCAGTTGGCTCCGCCCCCGTTGCTATGGCAACTCAGCTCAAGGCAAGCCAAGCCAGTTACCATCCCTAATAAAATACAATTCTACATACTTACCATTACTAACTATTGTCTAAACAATACATGACTATAGGAATAAAAATACACATCATCACACTTACTCTTTCACCAGGCTCTGGATCTGGTTCTTGAGGGACTGCTGGGTCACATCTAGGAGTTCCTGCAGCAAAGAGAAGAATCCAAAGTCACAAAAAGATCTGAAGCCAGTCTGACCAGTTTACGAAAAAGACGACAACATTCTTGAGGGCAACGAAAGAAAAAGTATTTGGAAGCAGGGGTGCATCCACATTGTGGAATGAATGATGAATGCAGCTTGGCCCTACTTTCACTGCCATGGCTTAGTTCAATAGAAATCCTGGGAGTTGTAGTTTACCAAGGACTGTCACCTCAATTGACAAAAGAGTCTCCAAACTACAACTCCTAGGATTCCTTAGCATTGAGTCAGGGAAGTTCAAATGTATTCAAACTGCATTCATTCTACACTGTAAATATGCCTTAGGGAAACTACAACTCCCAGGATTCCGCAGCATTGAGCCAGGGAAGTTCAAGTGGGGCCAAACTGCATCCATTCTGCAACAAAACAAATCCCTAAAAGAAAGGGGAAGAATGGAGATGGTTTCACCAAATAATGTTGGCAACCCTGGAATGCAATTTTGCAGAGAGACGTTATGCAATGTTGCTTGCACATAATGTACTTTATTTTTTTTGCATCTGTCCAATGAATCGACATAATCCTGGCATCCCAAATGTCCATGCTTAATTTCATCCCATTAAATAAATGGATTGGAAGGACATCCAGATGGTCCTCCACTTTTGTGGGTTTCGGTTAATCTTGCAGGCCCGCTCTAGGAATGTTTAGGCCCCACCCCCCCCCCCCCAAAATGCCCCCTGCCCCAATTTCCTGATCCTACAAAGACCCTTAACACATCACCATAGGTTTTATGTCCTGCCAAAAGAGAGGGAAGGGAGAAAAGCCAGAAGGATACGATGGGATATATATCACTCACCTCATGCCCGTCAATCATCTTGGTCAAACTTTTGGAAAACTTTTCTAGGCATTCCTGAAAAAGAAAAGGGAGGCAAGCCAGAGAAAGAATACGTGAAAGGTCTTAGCATCCATGCTCCAGTTGTTTACGCCGGAAAAAGCGCTCTGCATAAATGCTCAGAGGCACGGTACAATTCAAAAACACTCTGTATATGCTCAGAAGCACAATGCAATGGTCTGGCTCTCCCATTTTTCAATTGCCCATGGCTGAAAGGAACTCTGTTTCTTCTCAGAGGCACATTGTGACTGAGCTAAATAAACCAATGGTCTGGTTCAGTAGGAGGCGGTTTCCATGTTTCAATTGATCAGTATGCAAAAGCACTCTGTATATGCTCAGAGGCACAGTGCAGCTCAAAAACACTCTGTATATGCACATAACAACTCAAAAGCACTCTGTATATGTTCAGAGGCTCAGTGCAACTTAAAAACACTCTGTATATGCTAAAAAGCACTCTGAATAAGCTGAGAGGCACAGTGCAATTCAAAAGCACTCTGTATATGCTCAAAGGCACAGTGCAGCTCAAAAACACTCTGCATATGCACATAGCAACTCAAAAGCACTCAGTATATGCTCAGAGGCTCAGTGCAACTCAAAAGCACTCTGAATATGCTCAGAGGCACAGTGCAGCTCAAAAACACTCTGCATATGCACATAGCAATTAAAAAGCACTCTGTATACGCTCAGAGGCTCAGTGCAACTCAAAAGCACTCTGTATATGCTAAAAAGCACTCTGAATATGCTCAGAGGCACAATACAATTCAAAAGCACTCTGAATATGCTCAGAGGTACAGTGCAGCTCAAAAACACTCTGTATATGCACATAGCAACTCAAAAGCACTTTGTATATGCTCAGAGGCTCAATGCAACTCAAAAACACTATATATATGCTCAGAGGCTCAGTGCAACTCAAAAGCACTCTGTATATGCTAAAAAGCACTCTGAATATGCTCAGAGGCACAATGCAATTCAAAAGCACTCTGAATATGCTCAGAGACACAGTGCAGTCCAAAAGCACTCTGTATATGCTCAGAGGTACAGTGCAGCTCAAAAACACTCTATATATGCACATAGCAACTCATAAGCACTCTGAATATGCTCAGAGGCTCAGTGCAACTCAAAAACACTCTGTATATGCGCAGAGGCTCAGTGCAACTCAAAAACACTATGTATATGCTAAAAAGCACTCTGTATATGCTCAGAGGCACAGTGCAGCTCAAAAACACTCTGTATATGCACGTAGCAACTCAAAAGCACTCTGTATATGCTCAGAGGCTCAGTGCAACTCAAAAGAACTCTGTATATGCTAAAAAGCACTCTGAATATGCTCAGAGGCACAATGCAATTCAAAAGCACTCTGAATATGCTCAGAGACACAGTGCAATCCAAAAGCACTCTGTATATGCTCAGAGGTACAGTGCAGCTCAAAAACACTCTATATATGCACATAGCAACTCATAAGCACTCTGAATATGCTCAGAGGCACAGTGCAACTCAAAAGCATTCTGTATATGCTCAGAGGTTTGGTGCAACTCAAAAGCACTCTGTATATGCTCAGAGGGACAGTATAATTCAAAAGCACTCTGTATATGCTCAGAGGGACAGTATAATTCAAAAGCACTCTGTATATGCTCAGAGGGACAGTATAATTCAAAAGCACTCTGTATATGCTCAGAGGCACAGTGCAGCTCAAAAACACTCTGTATATTCACATAGCAACTCGAAAGCACACTGTGTATGCTCAGAGGCACAGTGAAACTCAAAGGCATTCTGTATATACTCAGAGGCACAGTGCATCTCAAAAGCACTCTGTCTATGCTCAGAGACACAGTGCAACCCAAAAGCACTCTGTACATGCTCACAGGCACAGTGCAGCTCAAAAGTATATGCTCAGAGACACAATGCAACTCAAAAGTACTTTGTATATGCTCAGAAGCTCAGTGGAACTCCAAAGCACTCTGAATATGCTCAAAGGCACAGTGCAACTGTGATCAGAGGCACAATGAAACTTTAAAGCACTCTGTATATGTTCAGAGGCACAGTGCGATTAAGCTAAGTAAACCAATGGTATGGCTCAGGAGAAGGCAGTCTATCATGTTCCAGTTACACCCTGTTGAAAGGCAATCTGTATGTGCTCAGAGGTACAGTGCATATTGAGAGATTCTGGGCAGAAGAGAGAACTGTTGACCCAATATTGCCATCTCTAACCAGCAGCAACAGCCCTCTAGATTCCAGGTAAGATCCACGCCTACCTGTGCATAGAAATCCTAAATTATTCCATGCTGATCTCCCATCTAAGAACTAACCAGGTCCAAGCTGCTTAGCTTCGAAAATTCAACAACAGACTGGTAATAAACTACACAACAGGATTATTATTTTGTTCAGATCTCGCCTGGTCCCCTTGGGAAGCCCTCAGCAGACACACAAGAGGGCCAAAGGTGTGTCCTTTGGTCTGGCCAGGTAAATATCCCCCTCCGGTCATGACCTTCCGGGCTGTGGCCAAACCTGCCTTTCAAGCCAAGTTGGAAACAAAGAGGCCCAAAGCCATATGAAAACAGACAATGGAGATCCGCAATGCCGAAAAGCCCCAAACCTCCGACACACAACACACACGCCTTGCTGTGGGTGGCCTCAGAATGACCTACCTGCCTCACTGCTGGAAAAGAGAGTCCTTATAAAATGCTGTACAGGTGACATCCGACCACAGTGAGGCTGGATAAAGGTGCTTTGAATGTATGCTGTTGTTTTTGTTGACATTTATTTATATCCCACGTTGTTGTTGTTGTTATTGTTGTTGTTTACTATTTCAATGTTCTCCTTTGATTATAATGATTATTATTATACCCTACTTTTCTCCTTTGGTGGTATTACTATTATTAGTATTGTTATTATCTTGCTCAACTTTTCTCATTATAGTTTGGTGAAGACAATTGACCTTAACATTTGGGAGATGTAGTTCACTCATATCCAGAAAGCACTCTGAACCCAACTGATGATGGAACTGGACCAATATTGGCATGCACACACAAAAAGGCCAACTTAGAAAATTGGTCAGGTTTGGAAGGAGTTGACCTTGAATGCTGGGAATTATAGTTCACCCACATTTAAAGGGCACTGGGAACCCAGCTGACAATGGATCTGGACCAAACTTTGCCCATGGACCCAATATGGCAGGGTTTGGAGCAAACTGACCTTTACCACCTTGAGTCGCTGATAGGCTGAGAAAGGTGGTATACAAGTATAGTAAATAAATAAATAAACTTTGGGAGTTATAGTTCACTCCCATCCAAAGAGTGCTGTGAACCCAACTGACAACTATCCTGGACCAATATTGGTATGGACACCTAACACTGCCAACTTTGAATACTTGCAGGGTTTGGAGGAAGTTGACCTTGGATACTGGGAATTATAGTTCACCTACAATCAAAGAGCACTCTGAACTCCACCAATGATGGATGTGAACCACACTTGGCACACACATCCAACATGATCAAGCCTGAATATTGGTGAGGTTTGGAGGGAATTGACCTTGAACTTTGGGAGTTATAGTTTACTCGAGCACTGTGAATCCAACTGACAACTAATCTGGACCAACATTGTTATGGGCACCTAGCACTGCCAACTTTGAATACTTGCAGGGTTTGGAGGGAGTTGACCTTGGAAACTGGGAATTATAGTTCACCTACAATAAAAGAGAACTCTGAACTCCACCAATGATGGATGTGGACCACACTTGGCACACACACCCAACATGACCAAGCCTGAATATCTGGTTGTTTGGAGGGAATTGACCTTGAACTTTGGGAGTTATAGTTTACTCGAGCACTGTGAACCCAACTGACAACTAATCTGGACCACAAGTATGGACACCTAACACTGCCAACTTTGAATACTTGCAGGGTTTGGAGGGAGTTGACCTTGGATGTTGGGAATTATAGTTCACCTACAATCAAAGAGCACTCTGAACTCCACCAATGATGGATGTGAACCACACTTGGCACACACATCCCATGGCCAACTTTAACTACTGGTAGGGTTTGCGGGGAACTTATCTTGAATTTAGGGAGTTAATTGTTTACTCCCATCAAAAGAGTGCTGTGCACCCAAATGACAATGGATCTGGACCAAACATGGCACACAGATCCAACATGTCCCAACTTTGAATACTAATGGGTTTAGAGGGAATTGACCTTGAATTTTAGGAGTTATCACTCACTCACAAGCAGAGAGCACTATGAACACAAATGATGGTGGATCTGGACCAACATAGCACACAAACCAGACATGGCCAACTTTGAATATGGAAGGAGCTGGGGGACCAAGTTTACCCATGCCTGGTCTACAAGACAGATGGCCTAGCATACATCTTGCTCCCTCCTCCTGCTGTTTCCTCTGTACACAGAGTAAACTCAGACTCCAAAGCAAACTCACGCTCATCATGGTGTCTCCTGCGGAATTGTGGGACAGCTCTTGGACACCCAACACGAAGGTCTTGCTGTGGGCGCAGTACTGCCGCCCGGACTCCAGCATGGTGGCACACAGCTTCAGCAACTGGGAGGAATGGGGAAAGAAGTCAGGCATCAGCAAGGGAGTTCATCTCTCCAGATTGTTATGCCAACCCCACGCTGAAGGTCAACCCTTTGCTCACCTTCTCCAGCTGCGTCTCCAACAAGGACACCTCCGTTTCCACCGTCTCAATGGCCGCCCTGATGGGAAAAAGAGACATATGAAGTAGACATACTTTTTAAATCATAGAATCATAGAATCAAAGAGTTGGAAGAGACCTCATGGGCCATCCAGTCCAACCCCATTCTGCCAAGAAGCAGGAAAATTATTATTTCCTACATTTGTACCCCACCCTTCTCACCCCGAGGGGGGGACTCAGGGCACTCAGGGGCAGAGAGCCCCACTGCTGAACAGCTCTCACAGATTCCTAATGTTCAGATGGAATCTCCTTTTTGTAGTTTGAAGCCATTGTTCCATTGCATTCTAGTCTCCAAGGAAGCAGAAAACAAGCTTGCTCCCTCCTCCCTGTGGCTTCCAAAGAAGGAGCCTCCACCACACTCCGGGGCAGAGAGTTCCACTGCTGAACGGCTCTCACAGTCAGGAAGTTCTTCCTCATGTTCAGATGGAATCTCCTCTCTTGTAGTTTGAAGCCATTGTCTGCGTCCTAGTCTCCAGGGAAGCAGAAGACAAGCTTGCTCCCTCCTCCCTGTGGCTTCCTCTCACATATTTATACATGGCTATCATCTCTCCACCTTCTCTTCTTCAGGCTAAACATGCCCAGCTCCTTAAGCCACTCCTTATAGGGCTTGTTCTCCAGACCCTTGATCATTTTAGTCGCCCTCCTCTGGACACATTCCAGCTTGTCAACATCTCTCTTGAATTGTGGTGCCCAGAATTGGACACAATATTCCAGGTGTGGTCTAACCAAAGCGAATAGAGCATGGGGAGCATGACTTCCCTAGATCTAGACACTATGCTCCTATTGATGCAGGCCAAAATCCCATTGGCTTTTTTTGCCGCCACATCACATTGTTGGCTCATGTTTAACTTGTTGTCCACGAGGACTCCAAGATCTTTTTCACACGTACTGCTCTCGAGCCAGGCATCGTCCCCCATTCTGTATCTTTGCATTTCGTTTTTCCTGCCAAAGTGGAGTATCTTGCATTTGTCACTGTTGAACTTCATTTTGTTGGTTTTGGCCCATCTCTCTAATCTGCCAAGATCGTTTTGAATCCTGTTCCTGTCCTCTGGAGTATTGGCATTTAAATCGGCATTTAATGCAACATGTTTTGGGTTTTGCAGTTTGTAGACGGGAGGGAAGTACGATCCTTCCACGTTCTGCATTTGCAGAAGGACAAAACGGAAGCTGGTTTGGATGCTAAAGTCTTTGCAAGTTTGCAAGACTTTGCAAGTTGTTGGAAAGCATGTTCAGCAATGGCAGGGCTTTGTGAGCCACCACCTCCTCCATGATCAGCCAGGCTTATCCAAGCTGAGCACATGAGTTGGACTACAACTCCCATCACTCTCAGATGACAACAGTCACAGAGCTGGGCATGGTGGGTCCTTGCAGTCTGTGTGACATTTGCATCAACTGCCCAAAACCCAAACATAATAATAACAATAATACCTCTGCAAATGCTTTGCAGAAGTTATGGACCAAAACTCCTAGAATTCTCCAGAGAGCAGAGGTAGGGTCTATGCTTTTTATGTTAAGCTGCTTTCAGTCTCCTTCAGGACAAATATTTACTTACTTAGGCAATCGCTCGTAGCTCGAGGATGATTGTTTTCCAGATGTGGTGTCTTGGCAGTGGATCTGTATGTGGCTATGGAGCCCCATTCTTGATCCACATGTTCCCCCGCAGTGAGGACATCTGTTCCCAGATGGAAGGCGGTCCCAGTCAGGGTTGGCTTGATGTGCCTTCCTCTTGGCACGTTTCTCCCTTTTGCCCTCCATTCGTGCCTCTTCAAGTTCTGCAGCACTGCTGGTCACAGCTGACCTCCAGCTAGAGCGCTCAAGGGCCAGGGCTTCCCAGTTCTCTGTGTCTATGCCACAGTTTTTGAGGTTGGCTTTCAGCCCATCTTTCAATGTCCACCAACATTACATTTTCCATTCTTGAGTTCGGAGTAGAGTAACTGCTTTGGGAGACAGTGGTCGGGCATCTGGACAACGTGGCCTGTCCAACAGAGTTGATGGCGGAGGACCATTGCTTCAATGCTGGTGGTCTTTCCTTCTTCCAGCACGTTGACATTTCCCTGCCTGACTTCCCAAGAGATTTGCAGGATTTTTCGGAGGCAGCGCTGATGGAATCTTTCCAGAAGTTGTGTATGACATCTGTAGACAGTCCACGTTTCACAAGCGTATGGCAGGGTTGGGAGGGGAATAGCTTTATAAACAAGCCCCTTGGTCTCCCTATGGATGCCCCGATCCTCGGACACTCTCTGCTTCATTCGGAAGAATGCTGCGGTCACAGAGCTCAGACAGTGTTGTATTTCAGTGTCAATGTTGACTTTTGGGGAGAGGTGGCAGATAAAGTGGGGTACTTATAATATGATTGCAGTGGGGTTATGGGAAGGTTGGCCCAAAGCAAACGTCACATTCTGAAGCTCTGGATCTGTCCATGATGAGCGCCTGCTATCCAAATCAGAAGCAACAATCTCTGGAACTACCTTTGGGGCTGCATCTGCACTGTAGAATTAATGCAGTTTGTAACCACTTTAACTGCCATGGCTCAAGGCTATGCATTCACAGCAATGGTGGTTTTGCAAAGACTTTAGCCTTCTTTGCCCAAGGATGTTGGCTCCTCACCAAACTACATAGCTTTGAGCTGTGGTGAGCTAAGTGGTGTCATAGAATTATAGAATCACAGAGTTGGGCCATCTAGTCTAACCCCATTCTGCCAAGAAGCAGGAAAATCTCATTCAAAGCACCCCCGACATATGGCCATCCAGCCACAACTAACTGTCAGGCGCCAAGGACAATAATAATCACCAATAGGACATCAAAGGGCCACAAATCCCTAACTTGCTTTATTGTCTCCAAATTACCCCATCCATTTCCACTTTTGGTAGTTTTGCAACATCTTTGGACTTTTCTGGGACATCTGCATTGGCTGGAGGGCCATCTGTCAGGAAAGTTTGGATTGTGTCTTCCTGCATGGACAAAAAGAGTTGGACTGGATGACCTCTGGGGGTCCCTTCCAACTCTGTAACTCTATAATTATTATTTTCTTAATGCAAATGCTTTCTGCATTATTTCTATTAAAGGTGGGATGGGACTGCACCATTTCACAAGCATCACTCTGCAGGTCTATGTGAATCACCCAAATTGGGGACTCTTGAGATCAGGGTGAAAATAGTGAGCTTTCAGGCAACTGACAGGAAGCGGTTGCAACGCAGAAAGAGGCAGGAAACTGCAACGCAACCGCAAAACGAAGAGGCTGAAAAAGCGAGAGAGTTTGGCAAAACATGATCCGGCCTTCCTTACGAAGAAATGCAAAGCCACGTGGACCCCTAAATGGAGGCAGACAGCAATTCCTCACCCTCACTTTGGATGGCTGGGGATGGTGGGAGTTGCAGTCACTTACAGCATGTCTCAACCTTAGCTTCTGATAACCTGGATGTATGCCAAACTGATTTATGCTTCCCAGAATGCATCTGCACTGTAGAATTAATGCATTTTTGACACCATATTAACTCTCCTGGCTCCATGCTATGGAATGTTTTTGGGGTGTTTTTTTTTTGTCGTGTCAGGAGTGACTTGAGAAACTGCAAGTCGCTTCTGGTGTGAGAGAATTGGCCGTCTGCAAGGACATTGCCCAGGGGACGCCCAGATGATTTGATACTTTTATCATCCTTGTGGGAGGCTTCTCTCATGTCCCCGCATGAGGAGCTGGAGCTGATAGAGGGAGCTCATCCGCCTCTCCCCGGATTCGAACCTGCGACCTGTCGATCTTCAGTCCTGCTGGCACAGGAGTTTAACCCACTGAGCCACCGGGGTCTCCTCTATGGAATGCTGGGAGATGTAGTTTTGCAAAGTCTTTAGCCTTCTCTACCAAAGAGGGCTTGTGCTTTGCTAAACTACAAATCCCAGGATTCTATAGTATTGAGCCAGGGCAGTTAAAGTGGTTTCAAACTGCATTAATTCACTCTATAGTATACATGATGCACCCATAGAGGAGGGAAGCGCAGGTATGGTTGTGGAACCAGGCCTTTGGCTAGCAAGCACAACAGCACTTTGGACATTGAACTGGACCATATGATTGTTATAATAATGGACACAGCTATATGATTGTATAACTAATGTTATTGTTTTTAATCTATTGTGTATTTACGGTTTTATATTGCTGTTACATAGTGATATTGTGGCATTGAATTGTTGACAGTGTTGGCAGCTCTGAGTCCCCCCTCAAAGGTTGAGAAGGGCGGGGTAGAAAGGTTGTAAATAAAAACATTTTGTCATGTCAAGAGCAACCTGAGAAACTGCAAGTTGCTTCTGGTGTGAGAGAATTGGCTGTCGAAACGTGGACTGTCTACAGATGTCACATGCAACTCCTAGAATGATTCCATCAGCGCTGCCTCCGGAAAATCCTGCAAATCTCTTGGGAAGACAGGCGGGGAAACGTCAGCGTGCTGGAAGAAGGAAGGACCGTCAGCATTGAAACGATGGTCCTCCGCCATCAACTCCACTGGACTGGCCACATTGTCCAGATGCCCGACCACTGTCTCCCAAAACAGTTGCTCTACTCCGAACTCAAGAACGGAAAAGGGAATGTTGGTGGACAGGAAAAGAGATCAAAGCCAACCTTAAATACTCTGGCATAGACACTGAGAACTGGGAAGCCCTGGCCCTTGAGAGCTCCAGCTGGAGGTCAGCTGTGACCAGCAGTGCTGCAGAATTTGAAGAGGCATGAATGGAGAGCGAAAGAGAGAAACGTGCCAAGAGGAAGGTGCATCAAGCCAACCCCGACCGGGACCGCCTTCCACCTGGAAACCGATGTCCTCACTGCGGGAGAAGATGCAGATCAAGAATAGAGCTCCACAGACACCTATGGACCCACCACAATACTGATCCTGGAAAACTATCCTACTCGGTCAACGAAGGATCGCCTAAGTAAGTAAGAAACTAATTACTTCAAAATGACCCGAAATGACCAAGAGAAAGAATGATATGAGACCTTGAAGGTCATCTAGTCTGACCCAT